TGGTACTAGACAATGACGCGGTGCCTTTTTATGGCTAGATTTTCTCAAATGAAAGAAGCACTTGCAGAAAATATCTAAATGATAGGCAATTTTGATGTCATAGAGTACTTTGTTTGTACCTTATTGCAAGTAGGCTTGCTTGAGGGATTGGCACGCGACATCTTACTGCGAAGATGCAAGACATATGGTTGATACCTTTGAACGCCAAAAGAAAAATGAGAGGCGCAAACATGGGAATAGCATCAGGCTGTGCAATGAGAGACCAAAGATGTTTTATACCATAAGCCAAGATGGCAAAAATTTTTGCCGGGCTCTTGTTTTGAACAGTCTTTATATAGCTGCTTTCCTCATGACAGCGACAGATCTGAAGTTTCTTGAATGGCCTCAAATTTTGAGGTTAGTTCATATATTTGGGAACCTTAAATGATGTTGTTTGATTTTTTATCCTAGTATAATTTGTTTTTTTCAATGTCATCATCTAAAATTCTTTGTTTTAAGATCAGCATAATTTGTTTTTCTAGTAATAATATGTTACTGGTTAATTTTACTCATTGCAATATTTTTAACTTTCTACTTTATTATAATGGTTAATGACTTGGTTATAATTTGTGAAGTATGAAAATTTGGTGTGATTAATTTGTCTTGTGTATTATTGGTATTGTGCGTAATACTTGTAATGTTTATAGAGACAGTTTTTTAGAATATTAGTCACCGTAGTTTACTCAGAACGATCGCCCTTTTTGGTGCGTCGGGCGCTCACACAATATAGGACGCTAATCGGCCCCCTGTGACCATCACTCGTGAACTATTACTTACTGTCGAAGAGGAGATAAATATGAATTTGGCAACTTAAAGAATATATATGTTGCTTTTCTTCAATGCAACTAAGGCAGTAAAAGTTTCACATGCTGACACGTCAGAACTCAAAGTTAGCTAGCCGATTTTGGAACTTTAAATCAAAAATTTTGAGTACAGATACTTTCGCATGTTGTTTGGGCATTGTCTCGTTCTATAAAAGTTGCATGTGATTTAGACTGAAGTAAGCACCTTAGAAATTCTCATGAAGCTATGTACTCCTTTTGAGTGGCCTTGTTTTGATCATAATTTACAATGACTTTGAGTAATAATGTGATGCTACTGGAGCTTGCCCGTAAAATCCAGGAATCAGTAGACTTGTCTAACACTACCTGTCAATGTTGGTTACTATCCATCACATTTATTAACTTGGTCAGTTTAGACTGTCTCTAATAGTATTCATGCATAGCAACATGAAATTGATGTGGTAGTTCTTGAATTCAAGTGTGTCTTTAGCTACAATTAATTCATTGATAATTGACATCGTGATAGAACTTACACCAGAGAAAATATAATCTTGTGCTCAGAAATAAGGAAAGGGAGGATAAGGAAAATAGCCGCGATATAGGCCATTGATAGTATCAATTTCTTTTTCATTGCGGCATTTTATTTACTAATTTAATTTCTTTGTTAGTTCTAGAGCTGTTCATAAAAATTTGCAGGTCCTGTCCCGCTGAAGCCTATTGTTTCTCAGATATGGTAGGATCCTCAGCCAATCCTGCCTGGCTGGATCGTTTTATGGATATCCTACTGTAGATGAAGTTGATGAAACAGCTGGTTTTTGTGCCTTGGTCAAATGGCTGTTACAGGCACATTCTGATGTCTATGGAAGTCCTTTGAAGCCACTGAGGTCATATAGCACCTCGTTCACATAAATTTGTCAATGGATTTATTGGTTAGCCACTGCATGACTGCTGTTGGCTTCCTTCGTTATAGCTGAACCTATATATCTGCTGTGGATAATAAAATAGGAAACAATTTAAAAAGCAATGAAGGACAATATTGTTTCTTTTTGTTCTGTTTCGCGAATTCCAACACAAGTCCGGAGGAGAAAGGTTCAGTGTTAGTGTTCACTAAGAATGAAGCTTATCTAGCTGCAGTTCACGGCGGGAAAAGCTGCATTATATTTAGCCTTGAGAAACTATACTATTTTTGTCTTAATTTGGTATTTTCAGGTGTGTCAGTAGTGGTGAAGGTATTGATGGTGTGGTTGGTTGGTTGGTTGGTAACGTTGTGGTGTTGTTTGTGGTGGTCGTCTATGATGATTGGTTTGTGGGGGGCGGGGGAAGGGGTTGGTCGTGTGGGGAGGAGTGGGGATTGGGTATTGGATGTGGTGATGGGAAGGGGGCGGAGTGTGGAGTGCGTGTGATTGTTGGTGGCTGGTGTTGGTGGGGGCTTTGGGTCGGTGGTTGAAGGAGAGGAGTGGGGATTTGATTGTGGTGGTTAACGGTTGTTGAGGGGGGGGTGGGGGAGGGGGAGTGTGGTTGGTTGGTGGGTGGGGTTGGTATTGGTTGTGGTGTGTAGTGTTGTGGTAGTGGTGTGTGTTATGTGTTGTGCTCGTTGTGTTAGTGTTTTTGGTGATTGTGTTGTGGTGTTAAGGAATTAGTATTTAATTTGCACCTCTTATTAATGGTACACACCCTTATTAAGCGTTTGATTTATATTTGCAGGCGGGACTTTCTTCAAAAGGTGTAAGCCGGAGGTAAGTCATAAATGCAGGCTGCGTGTTGAGGTGAGGAATGATGATGATGATCAGGAGGATTGATTATAATTAGATTGTAACTTGAAAACAATTTCTTGTGTTGTATAAACAATATTTATATGTACCTGTCGTGAAACGTTTTGATTTGTTTTTATTGAAATAAAGTTTTGTGATATATGCGTGAGATTGAAGTATTATAACGCTGAAGTTGAACCATGTTTTTAAATTTAGTTGCGATATTGTAGCAGTTTTTTCAATAATTTTCACAAATATTATGTTTTTTTAAAATTAATGATTATTTAGGCTACGGAAAACGGGCACAAAAAAAAGTAAAATAATTAAAAAAATAATATTAATAAAAAATTATTAAAATTTAAAAAAAATAGCGACGAGATTAGTAGTCGCGTAAATATGTCCATATAGCAACTAGGAAAACATTCACCAAAAAAAAACTGATTTAAAATTTTTTTTAAAAAAAGATCCTCGCACAATTCTTCTTTAGCGAGCGAATTTCCCGTCGCTAAATTCTATTTTTAGCGACGAAATTCGCGTCGCTAATAATTTTTTATATTGTATTAAAAAATAATGGCGACGGACTTTGTCGTCGGCTATATGATACGTCGCTAAAATTTAGCGACGGAAATTCCGTCGCTAAAACCTCAATTAGGGACCCTGAATGTAGCGTCGAAATTTTAGCGACGGAATTTGTTTTTTTCCGTCGCTAAAACTTTTAGCGACGAAAAAGTGACTTTTAGCGACGGAATTTTCCGTCGCTAAAAGTTGAAAATCCAGCAGTGTAATCAAATATAATAAATACTAGTGAGCAATGAACTCACCTCTAAATTAATTTTATCCCGCCCAATTTGATCCCTCTCGATATCCACAAGATCCTATATTATAATAAGACATAGGGTCAAGACCAAATTAATGTAAACTCATACTAATCGCTCCATAATTTATATCCAAATAGAATAAATAAATCAAATAGTTATTAGGACCCATAAAGAGTTCACAGAGGCTTATTGCTAAGTTTAGCAGTTCATCATAATTTTTATAACACTATTCTAATAATTTTGGACCTATTAACAATTTCAGACAACTTCAAGGGGTTTCAAACAATTATCCAAGCTTATTTCTACCTAGGCTTGACACTGTTGGGCCTATTTGCAAATAATAAAGGCAATAGGGGTATAAACAAAATTTTCTTCTTCATTTATTACATTGTTCAACAAAGTCTAGATTTGTTCACAATATTTGTGAACTTCAGGGGGTTAATATAAACTTTCATATTCAAAATCTACATCTTTTTTCACTCAAGTTGGGCTTAAAAGCAAGATATTGTTCTAGGGGACTAAAATAAAATTTGCATTTCCTTTATCTTTTGGACCTTTATACAAGGTCATAAACTTTTAAGGGTCCCAAAAAGTTTTTGTTATTTTAACTTTAGTTATCTCCTCTCTCTCTCTCTTGTAGACTACCGAAACCAAAATCACAATTCAAAATCATAATACAAATCCACTTGATTTTAAAGATTTCTAACTCCACAAAATTGACTATGCAATTCATAGAGATTAGATTACACATTGATAGGTGGTATGATTTAGACGGCTTGATATTGCTCTTCCTTCTCTTCATATTCTCTTCTCTCCATTTCTTTTTCTTTTGTAGACTACCGAAACCAAAATCACAATTCAAAATCATAATACAAATCCACTTGATTTTAAAGATTTCTAACTCCACAAAATTGACTATGCAATTCATAGAGATTAGATTACACATTGATAGGTGGTATGATTTAGACGGCTTGATATTGCTCTTCCTTCTCTTCATATTCTCTTCTCTCCATTTCTTTTTCTTTCGCTCAACCTAACCTATTGTTCAATCATCAAGTTGAGAGAGAAATATGGGTATAGTATAGGAATTGGAGGCATGATGACTATTCTTAAGGGAAAAGTATGGGTATAGGATAGGAATTGGAGGCATGATGACTATTCTTAAGGGAAAGGCTAGAAGTAACACGTCCTCTTGCTTTCTCTCTCTACCAATAAAAACCCATCTAAACCAACTTTGAATCGGAGCTTGACAGCAAACAAGTGAGGTTTGTGGAATTTGCCAAGACTCCCGCTAACAGCAGTCAACTCTCTCTCTCTCTCTCTCTCTCTCTCTCTATATATATATATATATATATATATCCTCTCTCTCTCTCTCTCTCTCTATATATATATATATATATATATATATATAGAGAGAGAGAGAGAGAGTTGACTGCTTAGGGACTACTACGAATGATCTATAGGAATGAGATTTCATTTTGGTCTTTTGTTCTCCCAGTAAACTAGAAATGTTTGGCACAATTTCAGTGACTCGTTAGGTATTGATCTTGTTGATTTTCTGGATGTTTAAACCGCTGAATTAACTTTCATAGAATTTTCTAACATTTCAGTGACGGACCACAAGAATGTAGGATATGCAACTTTGATGGACTCCATCACGAACACCCAGGTTTCTTCCTATACGTTTTATCCTTTCATGTAGTACTTTTAGTTTTTGTACACATCTGAAGAAGAGTGTAAACAAAATGTTGACATTAAGATTCTGTAGTTTTCGTGACTGGCAATTTCATTTCATGACTTACATGTAATAATATTACTTGTAAGTTGATTTTGACAAAAGATCTTGGTTCATGAAGTAAATCTAGGATTTCTTTTATATAGTAACAGTTCATACTATTATGGTTTATTAAAGCATCTCTTTGCCAATCTTTGAGTTAAGGTCTCATCAAGTAAGCACGAAATTATCGTTTAATACTTTTTGGCGTATGAAGTGCTAACTATCTCCTCTCTGATATTTTGAAATATTAGTATGTTACAAGTGGTAAATATTCCTGATAGAACACATTTGTAACGCTACATGTTATGGTCCACATGGACCTTTCTCTGCCTCTTGTTTAATACCTCAAACAATTGTTTCTGTTAGTTGAATATTACATGTTGATAGATTAAAATGGATTTACTAGTTATCCAAGTAATGTCAAAAACCTCAGTTTATCAAACTACGACAGAAGTCAGAACTCACGGATATATCTGAAGTTTACTTATTTCAATTTTTTATTCTTAAACTGTCAAGCATCTGATAATATGTTTAGCTTCTGTTTCTTGATGTCTTTACCTTGTTAAGAATATTACCGCATAAAAGTTCTTGACAGTATGAACTAACCTAGCCTTGAAATATCTATATTGCAGGTACCTCACTGGTTGAAATGTGTTGTTCGAGTGGTAGCAGCATGTCCTTGGCGGGGTGAAGACCTTCGTTCTCCTCTTGATGGATGTTACTGTGTTCGTTTGACTCTTGAAGATCCTACTGCAAGAATTCATGCATATATTTTGGGAGAGGAAGGGGTATGTTGTGCAAACTTCTTTTGGCAAAAAAATTCATGTAGTGTTTCCCTATAAATAATCACATAAGGAGCTATGAGATGGACGTGTCCTTGCTAGAAAAGCAGGAAGCAACAGATGTCTTGAGGGGTAAGTTACTCCCCCCCACCCCCCCTCCCCCCCCACAACAAAAAAAACAAAGAAGAAAAAAACCAAAAAGAAAAAGGGGAGAGAGAGAGAGAGAGAGAGAGAGAGAGAGAGAAGAAGAAAATAAAAGAAAAAGGCAAAAAAAAGGGAGGGTTGTTTAGATGACACCTTTGTTTTTTCTTTTTTTCCTCCACTAATTTTTCTCACGAATCCCCAACTTGAACACTGTCAATCTTGAACCATAATCTCTATCTAGGTTAGTTGCAGTTGTAGAGATCTATGTAACAGCTCTTGAACCACAAAAATCTCTTCAATTGAATAAGTTTGGACGAGGAATTGTTTTTATTTATTTATTTTTAATTAGCCAAAAATTTCATAATTTTTTGATGTAATGAAGCAAGATTCGGTAAAATACACAACATTTGAATATTTTAAACAAGAAGAAAAAACAAGGATCAGGAGCTGACTTGATCTGTGCGAGAGGAAAAAGAAAGTTGGGGGATTCTATGGAGAAAGTTACAGGGGTTTCTTGGGAAAAGCTAAGGGGGTATCGTTGGAATAATAAAGTTCAGGGGGTTTCATAGGAAACAACCCAAAGTTTTTGGGGTTTTGTGAAGTTTACCTAAAAGTTAAAGTTGGATGGTCGCTACTGATCAACTTTAAGATTTGTGCGCTAGGGCACATGTCACCATCTTGTTCTCCCCTTATGATTCTCGATAGAGGCCCTCTAGACTTTTTAGCCCTCTTGCCTTATTAGTGGAACATGTAAATGGAAAATGTATTCAACACAATTGCATCATCAAGTTCATGTGTTAACTTTCTTTAGTAACCTCTCTGTACTCTACCCATCTTGAATGATTACAGGTGAAATTCTTCGGGTATAATCCAACAGTTGACCAGTTGACTAGACAGATGAGCAGGTTGCTTGGTATAAAAGATTCTGATGGCGAAGAGAAAAGTTGTGCTTCTAGAGATCCTCCATGGATATGGTGCTTCTTAATGTGCTATTATTTGGACAAAAAAGATCCATGGGGGAGTAGGAGGTATAGGATAATCGACACCCGCTTGGTTGATTGAAGAAAGAAGACCTTTCTATCATGTGACATTTTGTAAATACTGCACTCTTCTTCAAGTGACAGACCAAATGCTAATTGCGAATAACACTTTGTAATGGTGACATGGGTAGTTAGTCATGTAATATCCTCGAATTTGGCTTATCTAGAAGTGAAGATTGAAGGGGTATTGGAAGGTTGTTTTCTTTTTAATTAGTATTGGAAGTTAAGGGGGTGTTTGGTTCAATTTCTACAAATTATAAGAAATATTTTCCACCCAAAATATGATTTCCTTGTATTTCTTAAAAAAAAATTGTAGGAAAAGTTTTGAAAAGTCAAAAAGTATTCATTTTTTTGTTTTTTTTTACTTTGCATGTTTGGTTCAAAACAAGAAAATCACTCATAAGTTTATAGAAAATAGCAAGATTTCCTATAATTTGTAAAAATTGAACCAAACACCCCCTATATTTATAGAAAAGTGTCAGCTTTATAGAAAAGTGTCAATGTGATGTTAGATTTCTCGATGATTTTCGCTCATTTTGAGAGAAAATTGATTTCTGTAAATTTTGGTATTTTTACAGTAAATTTTTTTGAACCAAACCCTATTTACGGAAATCTACAGAAAATTTTTAATTACAGAATTGCATTGTCAGATATTTTGAGAAAACTTTTCTACAAAATTGTGCAACCAAACACCCCCTAACTGTGTTTGGATATAAAACTGCCTATGTGCTAATTAAAAAAATAAAATTAAGAATACGAAGTGATTAATCTCCTATAGCACAGAAGGCTTATTTGAAATTAATTTTTATAACTCAATAACAAGAGGTCCGAGTGAACGATGAGTTACGAAGGTTCATCTAGTATGAAAGATTAATAGTATGAAAGATTAATGGACGGTTGTTTAAATGTACATAGGATTGGTATATAGATACAATAATGTATGACTCAGATAATTATTACTTTTTAATTTTTCAGTATTAGTCCCTTACATCTGACATAATTGCATATGAGTCCCTCAAATCCTATGTGGTCTTGCAAAATGGTCCTCTAAGTCTAAATGGTGTTATTAGATTTGAGGGGAATAAGTCGTCAAATATAACAACTCTGAGCAACGTGGCCATTTTACTTGACTATTATGTTTCCTAACCTATTTCTTAATCGATTTATGCCAAATATTCGCTTTAAAAAAATTCAAACTCAAATGAGCTCTTCTTCTCCAATTGTTCGCAAAGAGTACTAACCTAAAGTTGAGCTTTGTAAATGTTAGAAACGTTAGGAGAGGGGTAGTTTGATAATTGCATATGTTGGGTTAGGAGTTAACCTAACCACGCTTAGAAATTTTATTTTTAGTTAAAATACTAACAGATGATCCTTTTGCAAGACCCTGTCGAATTTGAGAGGCTAATATGCAATTCTATGATTTGAGGGACTAACAAGCAATCATTGAAGATATTTGGGACTAATATTATAGAGAGAAAAGCCCCTTTTAAAAAAATGAACAACTTTTTAGTTGTAGCCTTTTTGTTTGCACAGTAAAGACCGTTTTAGTATATGGATTAATTAGCACCAACTTAATGGTGAAACATAACATGATTAGGCTTCACTTTGGGCTGATCCCATCCCGACGTAGATTGGCGTAAAATGGGCTTTGAATTTGGGCCGGCCTCAGTAACGGAGAACTTCGTCACGCGCGGAACACGTGCTGAGAATTTGGGCGTAGCAGAGCAGGGAGCCAAGAGCAAGAGCAGCGAGAATGGCGACGATGGGAGGCGGAAGCAATGAAGTAAAGAAGCTGGAGGACTGCACTGTTGCCAAGTAAAGATTCAATTTTTAATCCCAATTTAGGGTTTAAAGGTTTTTTTTTTTTTTGGCGTTTTGATCTCTCGAGTTCTGAATAATTAGTTGATTATGTAAAAGTGAGAAAATATAAAGAAATTAGGTGAAAATGTCTAGCAGATCAACACTCATGATGAATACCGTCTACTCAAATCTTTCAAAAGTTCACTAAGCCAGAGAATTAGGTGAAGCCAAATATAAAGAAATTGGTATTAGTGAGAAAATATATTATCCAAAATTTGAGTTTGAATGGTATTGAAAGCTATCCATAGTACAATATGCATCGAGACATTCAAGATACAAGAGCAAACTTTTTTACTCTGAATTTTGTTTCAGTTGTCCTATATAGTTATAGTCATGCTTTCTTATATGAATGCTGCTCCCTACAAGATATTGTAAGTAGTTAGAGGATCAAGGGTGATAGAATAAAAACATCGAAAACAGAAGGTGAACGGGGCATAACGTTCAATAGGCACTTAGGAACCGCTCAAAGCACGTCACTTCGTTCTTTGAGTTTCGACGCTTCATAACCTGACCATTGGGTTGAAGAAGCAGAAGAACGAACCGCTATGTGCTTTCTTTTTTACTTTTCTTCTTAAGGTGCTCTTGAATGAAATAATGGCTCAAGACGGAGAATAATCGCGTAGGAGTCGACGATGAGATTGGGCATTTGATCCTTAATTAATGAGCACTTTCCCTCATTCTCATGTTGTATGAGCCAGCTATCTGTGATCTTGGACTGCACACGTCTCATGATGTCTAATTTTCTTGTTCTCTCAGTTCTTGTCGTATTTAAGCAAGACCCTCTCCTTTGCCAAAAATATTCCTCGATAAACCAAGGTCAGTAGATAGGTTGTATAAATGTCATGCGACATGGAATCAGAAATCTCAGCACCATGCTAACGTGTTCTTCAGTTGTGCCAGGTTTGATTTATTTGGATGTCTTCTCATTTGGTATTTGTATACATCATCCCACTTTGAAGTCTTTCTTATATATATGATTGAGCATTTTTTATGTGTTTGCATCGCTCCCATCAATCTTCTGTAATTGTCAAGAGATTTGGTTGAATTCGACTGATAGAGACTTGTCCTGATTCAAGTATCTACACTTCTGGCTGCGCAGCGAACGAGCCAGTGTTCCTTTATTCATCATTCATCCTTATAGTTTATAATATGTTAAGGATGATTGGCACATGCTCTGCAGTTGCATGACTAAAACACGAACTAGCAGGAAGGTACAAGACCTTCTTGGTAAGTGGTCTTCTATCATGATACGGCCGTATTTAGCTTCAAAATCTGCATTCTCTATGAAGTGGCAACTGCTTGAGCTGAGGGTTCTGGCCGTATCGTATTTAATTTTGATAGCTCTTGCCTTGGTAATGAAATACCTTAACCGTGCTTAAAGTGCTATTTTCGCTTTTAGTTCTGAGTACCAATACATAGTAGATATGTGACTAAGAGACAACAAGAAGCTTCGGCAGATCTCTATACCATCAGTTCTTAGACACGAGGAAGTAAAAAAGAAAATGGCACTATGGCATCTTCTACTTTAACAGATAAGATAAATGAAGTTGAATGAAGAAAAAAGAACCTTATTTGGCTAAAAAGATTTCCTTTTGTTACCACTACTTTGATTAATAAAACTGGACCAAGTAAGTTCCCATTGTATAAAGGCAGAAAGTTGACTGAGAACTGTTTATAGATCTCAGGTCAGCATCTCAAAAGTATACATCTTGAAGACCAACTGAAAGAAGGAATTCACGTACTTTGTACAGAGAAGGTTGATATGAAATTATATGGCAGAAATTGCCAGTAAGCAACATATGCTGAAATGCGGTATTTGTTGTTGAACTATGTTCATTGTAGCTCTAGATGATATGGCATCCATCTTATGCAATATTTCATTACAAGCACAATTGCATCCTTCTGTACAAATTTGTTTTCATTTACCCCTTGCGATTCCTATTGCTTGTTATTGCTTTTGAAAGTTCACTATTCAAAGTTGTGTGTACATCATTGCTATAAGAATATTTAGCTTTCGAGACTAGTTAAAGAGAGGAAGACTAATAAGTATTCTTACTATATATTCGTTGCATCTCTACGCGATTTGGCAAGTATTTCATGCAATACTTCATTCCTAGCTTCCTGTCTTGCACAATTGCATGCATAAATTTGTAGTCATCTGTGCCCCCTTGCAAATTGCAAATCCTATTTGCTTATTATATGTTTTTGGGGTTCACTTTATTCAGTTTTGTGCGTTTATCATGATTACAAGAATAAGGATCTTAACATACTCCTGATTAGTTAAAAAGAGGAAAGGCTAATACGTATTTTGACTAAATGATGGTTGCAGCGCTCTTGGTACGTGGGTCTTCTCAGTTCTGGGGGCGTTGGTTGCAATTCCAGTTGGAATTCGGAGGAAATCATTGGCTCCGCTTGTGTTCTTTGGTACAACCGGCACCATGCTTGACATCATCATGGGCATCAGTCAGTGCGAAAGAGAACATGCGGAGCGCCAAATGAAGCTCATGGAAGAACAAAGGCTTGCGATTGAAGGGCAAAATGTTGCAACAAATGAATCCGTTGATTCTGGAAATTAAAATGTGTGAGATTGTACGTTCAGTTTGAGATCTTCGGCTGTGCTTGTGTGCATTGAATAGTTTGCCACCATATCGAGCTCTGAGCATTTCTGACATGTCAGTAGTCCCCCCCCCCGGTTTATTTATGTCGACCTGAAACTTCGCATGCTTCGAACTGCCAAATTCAAGTTTTAGTAGATATGGACTTCCCCTTTCAGGATGCATCTATTCTGGATTGGCGCCGCTGGGTTCCTTCCTGCTATTAACAATTTGATGCTACCTGGCTCCTGATATCGCTCTTATTACGAATTCTACTTTTAACTTCATGATGAGAACCCAATTGGGTAAAGCTCATCATAGGAGTGGAGGCTACTTCATTGTTTTTTCTTCTTCATGAAACTTTGTGGGATACGATAGAAAAAGAAAAGAAAAACGGCCCTTCATAAATCTTTAATGATGAGAACAAAGTGAAGGTTGGCGAGAGAAAAAGAAAAGAAAAACGACCATAAATCTTTAACGGTGAAAACAAGAATATAGCTAACAGTAGAGGGGGGATAAAATGGTAAAAAGTAAGCGAGAAAAAATGGGTATGGAGTGACAATTTATTTTACTGAATAAAAGAGAGCTACAAGTGGAAGTTTTTTAATCTTTAATATCCATCTTAAGACAGCTAAAGACCGGACAAATTTTCAAAACCAACCATTTTTTAACTTTATTTTCAAAAATCGACCTTTTTAACATTTGTTTAGCATTTTCGACCTAGTTTTAGCCAGCTGGCTGAAACCGGGTCGAAAATGCTAAATAAGTTGCTAAATAAAGGGTCGATATTTATAAATAAAGTTCAAATATGGTTGGTTTTGAAAATTTGTCCGCTAAGGATCTATTATTTGAACCAAAATTGCTCCTTGTAACTGGTAATAACTTACTATTTGAACCCAAAATTTATTTAAAACCCTGACCGATTAGTCATCATAGTGTCAAAATGAGAACCACAGAGAGAATTCGCGAGATCAATAGTAAACTCTTAGAGCATGTTTGACAAATATTCAAAGTGACTTGTAAGTCACTTTTGTGATTTATAAGCCACTTTGAAATGTTAGGTAAGTGGCTTATTCTTGCTTATAAGCCATGAGGTTTTAGCAAGGAAACAACATATACACCCCTTATGATTTCACAAAATCCAAAGCCTTATGTAATAACTCACCACCAACCCTGTGTTATGTTAATGCTTATTTTAACAAGAATGATGGATTATAATCCATCCATTTGCCAAACACTCTACTGTTGAATTGGATTATAATCCACTAGATTTACCAAACAACTCTGGATTCTAATCGAAAGTGGAAATCCAAATACCAAAACATGCTCTTAAAATGTACGAAGATCTGTTTTTTATGAGAAAGCACGCCAGAATAGTGAAAAAAAGAAGACCAGTTGTACAGGAGCCATATTCTACTCTGGAAGCTCAGTACTAACAGTTACCTCAAACTTTTTCTAGTTAAAAAAATTTACATCAATTTGTTCACTACCATACAACTGCATACAAAATGGATTCTGTCATCAAAGTGAAAGCAAAGCTTGAGAAGAATTAAAACTTCAACTGCCGTAACATGGCATTGTAAATGAAACCAGCTCAAACCTTCCATTCTCAACATCCTTCTCCCTATCCACAGCAATTTCAAACCTGAAAGGACTATTCTGATCATGTATCAACAACGTTTTAACAAGAATCAACCATATACGATAAAAATCAGGCTTAATCCTATGCTGACTGCTCGATGGATTGGAATGATGCTGCTGTTTATGATCCTTGCCTTCTTGATAGCATTTGTAAACATTTTCTGCTGTGATTTTTCCAAATAAGATCTCTGCAGCCTTATTCTTTACAAGAAGAGGGATTTGTGCACTTTGGTCCCAAACATACAGCTGCATCATGGGAAAACACAATCAGAGTGGTTATCAAATTCATGTCATCACCATTTTATTTATGGCTAACATCATATCTTGGTAGAAGATATGGACAAGATTCATCGAGTCTTAAGATATGAAGTTAAGACTTAGGGCTTGTGTGACTTATTGAGAAATGATACTCCCTTCCCTTTGAAAGTGTGAGTTTGGGTAAAATCTTTCCTTGGACAATATTATTCTCGATCCTTTTGGATATTACATTCTAATTGTACTGTAATTAAAGAAATTTTGTCATCTAACCTCTGAATCTACTTGACTCTCCTCGTGGGAGGATTTAAAGCTTTGCGCATTATATGTAAGAGAAAAATGCTAACAGAAAAATAAAAAATAAAACAAAATTAAATTTAAAAAAATCTAAGCCTGCCCATTACTTCTGTAGTCTGTTAAGATTTTGTTGTGGTTCCTTGTTAAGGATTATTGTTTTAGACGCTTCCTTATTTGTTAATCATGTACAAGCAAGTTGCTGCCTCGTGTATTTTCCTCCAATTTGTGATGAATAGAGGCTTTGGTTGTCTTAGGATTGTAATTGAGTTGATATTGTTGTCATTTAATCATATCAATGTAGCATTTATGTTGTGGTGAACAACGACAGGGGGTTATAATATAAAACAATAATCATCAAATCTCTTGGTAACTTCGAAGATAACTATTAGAGTTAAAATAATATGAAACAATAATCCTTAACCGTAAATTTGCTTTAGATCGTTAAGTTTTTGAGTTTTAATCCATATTTCAAAATCTAGACCTATTTTCACAAAAGTTATTCCAAATGATTTTATATGTTTTATGATGATAATTTGTCCAAACACTTCTATTTTTCAGCAATTTTCTAGTTAGTGGGCCCTACAAATCTGAATATAACCTAAACCCTATAAATACCCCTTCTCTTAACCTAATTCTTTTTTTTAATTACTTTTCTACTCATTTTGCTTTTAAATTTACATACAATTAGGTGTAAAAACTAAAACTTCTGTCTAAAGGTCTAATTAAAATCTTTATTTTCTTCGAGTTAATTCCTCACTTTCTTATATCCATGAAACAGCTTATAACATAAAACAAGTATGTGTTTTCATATATATATATATATATATATATATATATATCACCCAAGTTATAGCTCTCCACTTAGATTTCTCTACAAATTTATCTTAATCTTCTTTATTAAACAAATAAGGTAACATAAGATCCATGGTAACTGGGTGCACAGAAAAAAGAAGGTCCAAAGGTGTTTCAGTGATGGTCAGCTTCTTGTTATGCTGCATGATTTCTGCTCATCGTTTAAATTTTATATTTATGTTTTTTAACTACACTGTTCTTTCTTGGTTAAGACAAGCATAATCTAGTGATATTTGTTGTAATGCATAAAAGACAAATCACTGCTTTTGAGCGATTTGCACTGTAAATAATGCTAAATCAGACCATTCTAACTGAATGAAGGCAAATAAGTTATATTGTTGTTAGAAATTTTAGCCGTTGGATTTTGATCTTAGTTAGGGGTAAATATGTCTCTCTACATTTGTTGTATTCCCCCTCTTTACCTTCACCCCCATTACACCCCAAATTGGGGGGAAGAAATCATGTTATTTTTTCACCTCCTTTCACCTCCCCTCACCCCTATTAACTTGCTATATTTCCTTTCACCTCCCCTCACCCCTATTAACTTGCTATATTTACTTCCCAAACAAGGTTAAAAGTTACCCTCTCTTCCCCTCACCCCCATTACCCTCAATCCAAACAAGCCCAAAGCAAATCCCTAAACTTGCGCCTCCTTTGCACAGACTATCGAGCTAATTTTCTACAGATAAATATCTGAAACTTTCAAATGGAATTGACTACTACACAACAATAATAAAGAAGCAAAAAATTCACCACATTTCTGCTTTTCTCAAAAAGTGACACTTCTTTAAACAATAAGGAACTGAGGAGGAGAAGATGGATGTGTCTCTAATTGGTGCCAATGTACGAGAGCTGGAGGAGATGATTGGTACTCGTAGAGGAATAAGAAGCAATTAGTGTAATTTCTTCAGGGCTAGGATTTATTAGAAGCAAGGATGAAGAAGGAGGAGGAAAAAGAAAGGACATTAAAGATATTTAAATTTCAAAAGTAGACAAAACGCACAAGTGATATGAGAATAATTCATTGGAATATTTGCTGGAAGGCTGATGGAAGATAATAAGCTATTAAGTTAGAGAAACTTCAAGATATTGATCTCTGGAAGTGTGTAAAGTGAGTTGATAATGTAGCCATTAACAAGGAAAAACGTCTCTTTTCTCTGCCTCTCTCATTTCTAATGGTCGAAAGCTCCCCATTTCACCATGACCTGAAAATGTATAGTTGCCTTTCGAATAATGTTACTCTTCCAGTATTATAGTCCATTGCCTCTGTGGAGAATCTTGCCTTGGCAAAGTTTGGTGTTGGTTAGGTAGACAGGATCCGATAAGCAACTTTCATCATGCAGCGACTGACAAAGGAAATGTATTAAATGCTGAAAAATGTAAATTGTTTCAAGATTGTATTAGAAAGAAAAGGGTCAAAAGGGATAGTCCTTCTGTTTATAAAAGGGGAGAAGTTTTATGTCCAAAAAAAGTATAAACTATAAACTATAAACTATGGTAAAATAAAATCAAATCTACAACTAATCAACTTCACCAATACTAAGCATATTTATCATCTAATCTGCATTAAATTCATAAAATGTTAAACCTGAATTTGAACTGTTTGTTTAAAAGATTTCAGTAAGGATGATCCTTTAAACTTGCTAAATTTCAGTTGAATTCCCAGGTGATTTCAAAGACAAGCTTAACTGAAGCATTTATTTGGTGGCACAAAAATGACATTTGTTTAAAAGAGAACCGACATGCATAATTAGAGTTTCAAAATAGATCAAACTGACATGCATTTATTTAAGAAGAAGATTTCAAACAAAACTTTAATCCTATTTCCTAAATATATCAAAAAACTTGGCCTACAACCTTTCCTTAAAATAATTTTTTTTTAAATGGAAAATAGGAACAGGAAGAAAGACAAGGAAATAAAATAAGGATGAATTAAAAATAAACACATAAAAAAATGAACATCCAGCACTGGAATATGTTAATTCAACTCTTTGTCTTTGCAAACTCCTGTCAGTTGAAGAATAAGGAATACAACAATTGTTACATTTCGGGAACCTGTTTCCATTGTTCCTTAGAAAAATTGGTTGAAACTACTACTTCTATGGATTGTAGTAAAAATAAATTAAGGTTACCCCTGTCATCTGGAATAATTAACTATAAACAGTGTTTTAAAATACAGATTAGGGTGCCACTTATGCCTAAGCGGGCTACAACAGCTCCGATTAGGGAAAAAGCGCTCCATTATGCGGTCATCTGCATAATCAGGCGCATTTACAGTAAGCGCCAAGCGGACACATAATTTTTTAATGCCGGTGATTTTCTTTTAAATCCTCTCCGGGTTAAACCCAGTTACCACAACCCCGACTCGAATACTAAAGTAAAAAAAATCCTAACTCTCCCAAAGTTTCGCTACTCCACTCTCTATTCTCTTTTTTTCAAACCCAGTGACTGCGACAAGTATCTTTGGCCTTTGTCAACACTTGCTTGACCTTGCGCCGCTTGCGAAAACTCACTGGAAGATCGTATGACCTCTGACGCTCTCCCTACAAGCTCTCCGACGATCATCTCAGAGTTCTTCAGCATTTCCTTCGAAGTTCTCTGACGAAACAGATTCTTCTAAATATGTTTTCTATTTTTTCATGAATTTTGTATATTTTATCATATAATAAATGATAAATATATATATTAAAAATTCAAAAATGCATAATTCGGCATTATACAAGTAATCAACGCATAATCCGATCAATTGTTAAGCACTCGTGGACCGCACACATCATGATAAAAGTGTATGTTTGAACATTGACTATAAAAACTAGTAGTTGTAGAAATAATAACTTATTGTCTTCTAATTATATATAGTGCAAGGCATACACCCCACAATGAGATTATATGGACGTTCTCATTTGTTTGGCCAAGTGAGCCAGGATTATATGGATGCTCTCAAGTGTTTACAAAAGTTAGCTAGACATGAGCTCCTAACCCATCTAACTCCTATATCCACACAGGGAAATTGATAGGGCAATGATGAAAGAGAAGACTAAATAATTTGATTAAAAAAAAACCCTAACCGGGTTTCTTGATCAAGTTCAAAATTTTCTATATTGTACACAGAGAGGTTTCCAGTAAAAGAAACATTTAAGGTCAATATCTTTGCTGGTGTACATGCTTTCTTTTACAAATAAATTCTCCCTATTCAAAAATAAAATCAGGTTTTCTATAGTATGCTTTATTAGTCTGTTTTGCACCTATTCATATACGATACTCGGATTGTCATGTACTCAATGAATACTTATCTATTTACTTGAATTCATCTTTAATTTTACAATGTGTGGGAAATGTGTCCAAGACATTCATAATTATTTAGTTATGTATTTATTTATTTATTTATTTATATTTACTTGAATTCATCTTTAATTTTACAATGTGTGGCAAATGTGTCCAAGACATTCATAATTATTTAGTTATGTATTTATTTATTTATTTATTTATTTATTTATTTATTTACACAACATGAAAATATTTTATTAACATCCTATTTTTGTTTAAACACAGATACATAAAATTGATAAGAACAGACAAGACTTTTTTTATTACTTCTATATATATGATGTATTGGTAACCTGATCTTTGACTATTTACAATATCAGCATAAAGTACTTCGTGCAATATATATTGCATATGCATATCGGTGCAAATATATAATAGTGCATTATTGACTATTGCATTGAGAATACAAACAAGGAACACATTTCACATGTAATCATTATCAACCTTTAAAGTACAAGCATGCGAGAGGCAGAGGTCAGAGGTCAGATTTGTCTAAGTGCATGCAACAGAAATAAAAGAAAATATGCTTAAATGATAAGATAATGGGATAACACAATAACCATCAAAGAGTAATAATAACTTATGAAAAGAACGTTAGTATCCTCTAGTTTCAGGAGAATCAGACGACGCCCTGGTATTTCAAGACATCTAATAAACAATTGAAAGTATTCTCCAAAAAAATACAACTGGAACTAAAATTTGTGGGATTCTCACCATGAATGGTCTGTATATCATGGAAATATCATGATGATAGTTGGAACCTTTCTTACAGTACAGAGGAAGTTTGACCTGCTCTGGTACAGACCTGGTAGAAACCACCATAATCATTAGGATCAGAGAAATGCCATTATGCAAAATATATTGGCCTATGAACACTAGATAAACTAAGAGGTCAGGTTTTTACTGAACACACCTAGAATCAATTGGTGAGCCACATAGTCTGCAACCTTTAGATATCAAATCTTCTACAATATTAGTTTTGACCATCGCGGACAATCTCTTGCTGACAAATAGTTGTTCATCCTTGTATTCATTTGATTTTGAGATAAATGGCGTAAACATTTCAGCAATGTAGGCGTGAAACTTGGTATTACATGTGATAGCTATTTGCAATGCTTCAGATATTGATAAACAATCCATAGACTTCATTCCTTCACATGCCTTCCAGTTCTTGATTGCTTTTTCTTTCTTCTGTTGCGCAACATCAAGTTAAATGCTTAAATTATGTCACCTTAATGCAATTCAACCAACAAACTATAGAATAGTCAGAAAGAACAAGGAAGTTCATAGACAAATCAGCTAATCGTTCGCGATGAAATTTAAACCTATAATAAGATAAGGTTGAGAGAGCAATCAAATTTGAATTATAATCATGTAAAGATCTTTCAAACAACTGCTGACCAAAAGTGCAGATTAACTGAGAGCAACTTGAGATAGATATAGCATATAAACAATCGTCACTTGTGGTACAGATTGCACTGATTTCGAAAATAAACAAGCATCTGGTGGGCATATGAACAGTTAGCAGAGATAACTGCTTCTAGATAGATCAAGACTATAAAATGACATTATTTACAACAAAAACAACAACCAAGCCTATCATTCCACTCAGATCTGTTTAGGGCTATCTCCTCTTTTAAGTTAATCACTATCATATCTTTCTTAATTGATTCGAACCAAGTTCTTTTTGGGCGCAATGCATTAATTATAATCTTAGGACCTCTCCCGATTGACGAATTTTGTGACCTTCGTTAGACGGGGTCAAACCATCTCAGTCTTATTTTCATTTTCTCCTCCAATTGAGTGACCTCTAGCTCCGGTGGATGCACTAATTTATTATCCGACCTCTTAACATGTATCCACTAGTCCACAGTAATTTATATTCTGTGACACCCATTTGTTGCACATATTTCTTAACTGCTATTCCAATTCGTAAAGCATTATTGCTACGCTCATATTTTAATTCATAAAGCATTATCGGTCTCGTAGCTATCGAGTAGATTTTTTTTCCTTTCAATTTCATAGGTAATCTACGAACAGATAGGACTCCATAGCACTCTTCCAACTTAATCATCTTGATTTGATTTGATTTGATGAGCCACATCATTCTCAATCTCACCATCTTGATTAATGACCACAGTTATACCAAAATTACATTCAATGTAGTCTATTTTTGTTCTACTGATTCTAAATCTTTTAGATTTGAGAGGTTCTCGCCATCTTTATAATTTAGAAATCATTCTTTCCTACACTCATCAGCTGATATTACATCGTTAGAAAATAAAATACACCATAGTACTTCATCTTGAATACTCTAGTAAATTGTTACATAACTAATGCAAGAAAACAATATTAAGTTGATCCCTAATATTAACCTATGATAATAAGAAACAATGTTGTCTCTTATTCATTTGTTCTCACCCTGGTTAGTGTTCTATCACACAAATCTTTAATCACATTAATTTACCTACTCAATATTTTTTTTCACTCTGACCCATCATATCCCGTCACTTGGCACTGTATCTATGTATCATAACATTTTTTAGATTAATGAAAACCATAAGTGTAATAATCCATTTTTTTAGATGCAAATCAATTCATTTGGAGGCCCACATGATAACAGGATTGAAAAATAAATAAATAAAACAAAAACTCATCCTAGAAAATCCTAACAAACCTACAAATCCCTCTCCACAAATCCCTCACCTAACTTCCCCTTATCTCCCCACTAAACAAATTCCTCCACTAATCATTCCCTTTAAAACCCCATTCCAATTTTTTTCTCACGGGAAAAGAGAGAGGGAGCATATTTGTTCACGGAAGAGAGGGGGAGAGAGAGAGAGAGAGAGAGTCGAAACTTGATTTTAGCACAAGTGTAGTTTTTATACTATTTTCTGTCCAAACTTCAGACTCAAATCTCTAATGTAGCAGCTTTATTTTAGCACAAGTGTTTTCTTGGGGATTAATATTTTTTTAAGAAAGTAAGAAAAAAAGAACTTGATTTAAAACTGGTGGGTGACAGTCGAAAGGGAATTTTCATCTACTTAGAAGTATGATCAATTTCTTTTATGAAAAAAAATCATTGTTTGAGTATTTTTTTTTCCTTTCCAAAATCAAGATTCTTATCAAAAGTATTTCTGAAAAAGCAAGAACTTTAATGTTAACCAAAAACTCTTTGATCAATCATTTTCAAAGAAGTAATCACCTATAAAGTTTACTATTATATCTTTTTGAAGTTATTTCGGCCAACTGGATCCTCTAAATCAAACCATTTAGCTCCAGCTAGTTCATGCGACTGAACTTGGATGTTCTTTATGTGCTAGTCAATAAAGATATTAGTAGACTTGAAACTTTTCAGTTACCACCAACTAGGCTAGTATCTTAGCACCGTTAGGTCATGTGAGAGGAATGTTTTTAAGCTTAACTCGATGTAGATATGCATGTAAAACAAATCTATCTAGTGGTGTATGTGCATTTGATTTTCTAGATTATCAATCCTGAGAGTGACCTTTTACTTTTCTATTAATGGTTGGGGATTATAATGGATAAATCCTTATAAATAGGTTTAGCGGGGTCAATACTAAGTGTTGTAGATAGATTAGCTTAGAACTTTGATGGATTAGAGTGGTTTAGTAATGAGTAACTACATGATATAATTTGCTTATATATTAGATTACAAATATGATGAGGAAGATGAACTATACCCGAATATCTTTGTATTTAATCCTCCTATCTTCATTTTATATCTTTCAAAATTTTTAACTAAGTGATTGCATGTATGAGTATATGTAGCTTAACACATGAGCTTGGCATGAACCCGTGTTAGCTTGATATTTGTGCTCCTGAAGCATCCTTACACTATTCAATACGGGTAATGCACAGTGTATGATGTTGATATGACTATGTACCTAATATATGATCAAGATATTACATGATGTTTGATATCTAGAAAAATATATTAACTCTTGAGAATTGCCACTGGAACATGATTTTGACCACATGTTTATAAGTTAAGAAATACAAGGACAAGAACTTCATGAAAAGTCTCAGGCTAGGATCTACATATTTTATATTAGTATCAAATTATCTTAGGTTATACATGTGTATGATGTCATAGTGCTGAATGTCAAGCGAGTCCTTCAAGACACCATTATAATATTGATACTGGGATACATGTTTTAGTGAGAGGGGGCTCGTGATCTTCCTCCACTGGATTGTGATTGGTGGTGGTACAAGGGTGACGACCCTTAGGACCAAACTTGGGAAAGAATTGGTTTATATGTATCACGTCTTGACTGATCTCGCAGAAGATTCATACTATGGAGAGTCATTCCAATAGGCTTGTAGTATATGGTATGAGATATATACCACGAGAATCTAGATTTGGGTATCACATCTCTTTATGACCGGTAACGTCTAGGTTCTCGTGTGCTTGGATTAAATTTCAAGGACGAAATTTCTCTTCTTAGGTGGGTAGGATATAATAATCCATTTTTTTAGATGCAAATCAATTCATTTGAAGGCCCACATGATAACAGGATTGAAAAATAAATAAATAAAATAAAAACTCATCCTAGAAAATCCTAACAAACCTGCTAATCCCTCTCCACAAATCCCTCACCTAACCTCCCCTTATCTCCCCACTAAACAAATTCCTCCACTAATCTCTCCTTTAAAATCTCCTTCCACATTTTGTCTCACGGGAAGAGAGAGAGAGAGCATATTTGTTCACGGGAGAGAGGGAGAGAGAGAGGAAAGCAACAATTAATGCTTGAAGAGGGAGGGGAGAATGATCTTTGCTTGAATTTTTGGTTCGACATTAATTTGCAAGCGTTTCTTATTCTTCAACTATTTTTATTTTATTTTTTTCATGATCACCTTATCTAATTTCTAGAATTTCTTTCTAGAAAATCATGACAAAGAGATTGTAGTTAAATTTTGTTATGTAAGCATTTATGTTTTTAATACTCAGGCTAATAGTATGCACAACATACAATCAAGAGTAAACAGACAATCACAATCACATGTATATAATTATAGTATAGCAGATATGTATTGTCAGAAATATAATATTTTAGTTTCATGTGTTTAGAATAGCACATATTATAATTCCATTGATACAACAAGCATTATGTAGTAAAATTCTGTAGAGGCATGCGAAGTACTATCAATGCATTAGACTTGATAATCTAGTAACATAAAAGTATTGTCACTTCCGTTTGTATTTATTTGTATACAGCAGGTGTTAGTGGTCGGTTTTATGTAGCATATTAAGGCTTATGCAGTAGTAAAGAGTGTGAATATATTTAACGGTATGTTTACAAGTGGTCAATGTGTATGTGGTTGAAAGTTTGTGAGTATCAACAGTGTATTAGTAGCAACACAAAACATATGACATAGTATAATCAGTACCACCGTCAGTATAAGGTGAGGTACTCACAGGGAGAATCAGTCAAAATCTATAATGTGGTTGAACAACTGGGGACAAGTTTATATAGTTATACATCATAATTCACACAAGTAGCAAATTTCATAAGTACACATGTCAATGACATTAACAGAGGATCAACGCAAGTATGTATAGGTGGTAGGTTCAGATTCATGCAGTAAGTTCATATGTCATCACACAGTTGTTCAAAAACTAGTCAGGGCACTGTATTATCCGGATTGAGAGGTAGATGTTCACAGTTATACATTCTAGACAAACAGTGTAGTGCAAATAGTACAGGTTATAGACAGTATCTGAATCTCCATATTATAGTGTTGTAAGCACATTTAGTGGGAGTCACCAAAGTGTCAACAATATTAATTTGTAGTAATAATTAATTGTCTTAAGTTATGCTAAGCTCATTAGTTAATGTAAGCCTGTAAAACCAACTGTGCGTTCATGTGTGCTTAAATGGGCCTGGCAAGTGGGCCTTTGTGCAATTGACTACTCTGTTCCAAGTTGGGTTAAAATACATAGTATAACAGTAGTTACATCACACAATCAGTTTGTATTGTTATAATTTTATGGATCAGACCAGATCCGACTAAACCAGTCTTGACCCGACTAGGTCAAACTGAACCAGTTCAGACCAGACCAATCCAGATTAACCAGTCTGAACCAGACCCGACTTAATATTTATTGCAACCAGTCTTGAACCCAACCGAGCACAATTCAAGCGAAACTCTTGTCAACACCTACTTGA